ACATGTTTATTGCTCCTTCGTGTTGTATAAGGAGCTCGTTTATGGCTTGCATAGCGGAGTCATTCGACACGCTCGTATAGAGGGCAGTGATGTCGAAGGACTCCACCACGTACGCGCTGTTGGGTTGCGCATTACGTAGACGACCCAGGAACATTTGGGTGTTCGTTAGATGAGCTGGAATGTACTTCAACAACTGAGTAAGTATTAGGGTTATTAACCACGTTATTCTATCCGTTGGCCCGTCCACGCAGCTAATGATAGGTCTAACCTTAAATAACGATGGATCGGTAGACACGAGATCATCGCTGGATACTAACTTGTGGGTTTTGATAAAAAGTACAGGACGGGACATGTTGGTAAGTCAATTTTAAGATGAGAGATAACTGATGGTTTTAACCCAGCCGCTCTTGCCGCTTTAACGAATTCGCTGTTTAACTTTCGGTATTGACTTTTAAATTCCTTTTCAGACGACGTACGATAAAGGGAAGCATCTTTAAGGTGCTTTTCCGTTATCTCAACATCTAACTGATGGGGAATTACAACGAACTCTCCACCCTTATCACTAACCGATAGTCTTATGTTTTTTGATCTTATCAGCTCTCGTACCTCCCGCATACCACGTTTTTGTATTTCAGTGAGGTTGGAGCAGTATCTTTTAGCGCGATAGTGATTAAGGACTTTGAAAGTTTCATTCGTAAACATCCGAAATTTAACATCGACTTCATTAATGGGCTCTTGTTGTCTAAAGAACGGTTGAGGAAATGGTGGTACTGGTATTACCCCTACTCCTTGTTGTTCGCGCCTATTTTGCGCTTCATCCCTAGCTTTTTTGCGGAATTACCTTTTTCTCTTTTTTGGATTTACTGATCAGACTGTTTATGTCTTTAAGCTCGCACTGAATGTGTGCGCAAAAACAACTGTGCATTCCAACAAGCATATATTCAGAGCAACGTGATTGGTGGTGAAGCTCTACATCAGATACAAAAAGCACGGATGGAAACCTTGCTTTGTAAAGTGAACAAACGAAAAATGCATTGAAACCGATGTATACGGTCTCAAGTGTGTTGTAAATCTACTTCTCAAAGACATTGCAGATGGAAATGAAAAATAGATCCCTTAAATCGGTGTCAAACGAAGTAAATGGGTTAAGTCAGTTGCGAGAAAGTTCCTACTCCACACAAATAACGATTGCACTCGAAGTCCCAGCTTGATTCCTAATGAGACAGACGAATATATTAGGACATGCTGCCAATAATGGATTGTTTTACATAGACCAGATCATCTCTGAAGTTATCTGTGCACAACCACATATGTTATGTAAGAGTCTGGATGAGTAAACATCTACACGCGAAAATAAGTAATCCTGCAGTTGAACCACGCTAAACTTATATAGCAAGGAATAATCTGGAGAGCCTTCCAACAATTTACCGCCTCATCGTAGCGGAGGTGTTGCTGGGTGCTGCGGTGTACAGCGAGAGGGATTCATGGAGCTGGCAGAGTCTCCCAAACTGAGACGGAGTCAGGCGTTTCAACCACGAAGCCTAGCTAAGAATAAACCAATACCAGAACCGACCACCGTCCTGGTATCAATCTAGCCGCATGGTGGCAAATCTGCCTCTGATCCACAAAGGCGGCGAGTGCCTATGGTGGAGACGATCTGGGGTAGAGTTTGGATAGCCTGACCCCGGGACTCCAAACTTCGAAAAATGGAGATTAAGTTGGGCGCCGCACAACCTGTGAGGACGGACCGGGCAAGTATTAAAGTAAGTAATCTGGAGAAACCTAGTGAATTTCAGTGGGAAGTTCATCTCCAGTCTAATCATCATCGTGTCGTTCAATTCCTGAAGTACTTTTTGATCAATGAACTGTCAAAGATAAGAATGAGATCGAAGTAATCATCTAAAAATTCTTTGTTAGGAAACAGAATGCTGTCAAAAAAGCTATCGGAGTATTGTCATCAAAAGTGACTGTCAATTTACTGACTAAAGGAAATTTCAAAGGGTAAAAATTCCGGTCTGATATTTCATATTTCTTATTTGACAGCAGTGGAACAAAAACCAAAGCTACATCAATATTAAATAGCAACTATGTTACCACTAATGAAAAAGACAAAAAGTTAGTGAATAGATTGGAAAACCGATGGCGATCGATAATTGAACTGCCATGAAATTCCCAAGACTTTACGGGACATCCTAGTGTGACCACAAAAAAAAACAGCTAGTGAGAGGATGAAATTAGGCAAGAGCAGCTCATCGGGTGGTACAATGGATGCAAAAAGTAGCTAGAAGACTTTACATAACAGTTAGTATCCTAGCACAGGAACCTAAAACACCACTTCATAACCCTAATCCTTTAACCACTACAAAACCTCTCATGAAGAACCAGGAAGATAATCACATATGAGGCCACTCTATTAGTTAGTTTTTTTTTTCATACGACATGATGCAGACGCTTATTTATCGCTCAACATAAACCTGAACATATAGATGTTTCCATGTACCAAGTCAACCACGAAAAGTGGTTATAACTATGCAGCTACTCATTTTGTGAAATCGAACTTTGCCCTCCTTGATCTCATGTGTTTTTAGCCAAAATGTAAGTAATTCCGTTTCATTTCTGCATGGTTGTGAGAAATTGGCATACAGTCGCTAAATTTCAGGTAATCTCGTTGTGCCAGTATTAACAACCATATCAGCAACTTCTTATCACCAACATATCGTATCATCAACGGGGCGCGCAGTGGTCAGAGGCGCCCTGCAATACACATGGGATAGATCTCCGCGCCCAAAACTCACCATGCCTTCTCTCCCTCCGGATTCAGAAAATTGCTCCCAGACTTGCTTGAGACGATAGAAGCATTGGCTCGATTCATCGGTAGGCGACCGCGACTCATTGTAAGGCCCAGACATGCATTTAACCAGCTCAGATGATTCTTGGTGAAGTCGAATGCATGGCACATCCCTCAGGGATTGATCGTCGGGAGCTTTATCCTTTTTTTGTCAACTTCTATAAAAGGGTCGTCACAACTTCGTACACATTGAAGCTCTCTATGGAAATCTGTACCATCTTCAACTTTGCGCTACCATGAAGTTTCTTCATAACGGTGCGATTCTACAGTGAGAAAAGGTTTCTAAAAAGAAAAACTTCCCTGAGCAGAAAGTAAAATTTCCTTAATAAAAATTCCAGAAATTTATGTAACATTAGAAAACTATAGTGGCCATTTCATTCAAGACCAAGTAAAATATTCACCTCCGAGAAGACGCCCTTCTCCATCTGTATTACCTTGAAAACCAGCTTTCATCGCCTTATATATATTCACATAAGATCCTAAACGAAGAAATCCCATCCATAACGGCAGCCAACGTTGGTTAGGACCATAAAAGTGGCGCTGAAATATCGTTATTTGACATCATAACCTTCTATGACTATCTGGGAACAACGTCCTTCAACTGCATGAATCAGGCAACGACTATAAACACACACCTCTTTATCGAAGTAGACATCACCCTTGAAATAAGGCTTGAATTCATTCACGCCTTTAACCTCGTGCACAACTGCAACCTTAAAGTGTGTGAAATACAGAGATGAGATTATTGGGAGTACGAACTGTGCAGTCGATCAAATAGACAATTCTACCGGACAAGAACAGCGCCTACCATTTGGATGCCTGCTTCCTTCATAATCGGGGTAAGCGAACTAAGTTCAGCAGCTTCTTTACGGCACAAAAGACATCCTGGACGGCGAACTGCCATCACCATGGTCGGACCTTTAGAGAACAATGAAGAAGCCTAAATAAATTAGGAACACTTTCCTTTACGAACAAAAAGCTAAGCACTTTTCTAAGTTGTCGTGGTAAGAACCCACCTGTATCGCATTCGTCTCATCAACTTGAACTTCATCTTTAATAGGAATTAACTTCGCTGTAGAAAGGTAAGGAACTGTGGGAACGACGGCACCAATCGTTAGTCTCGTAGGAAGATTTGCATAGAGAATCGCGCCTCCTAGGGCTGCAAGAGCGCCATATCCAAACATCTTTATATTTAGTTTGTCTAAAGCAGCACCAAAGTTAAAACTACCACCGACAGCAGCAGTGAGCGAAAACGAACAAGTAATGACGATCGAAGCTTCATAACTCAAAAGAGAAGAAACAGAAGTAGAAAGAATTATTCAAAAGAGACTTTCTAAAAACCTCGGGATAAATAATCGACATATGTACTTATATGTTTTTAAGAGTGAAGTCCACCTCATAACAGCACGGCTCTGAAAAAAGCGAAATCGGCGAAACCTCAGTCATCGAACAACAACAACAGACAACAGACAACAGACAACAACAAAAAACAACAACAACAACAATGACACCTTGTACCAACATCGCATCGACTCAACAAGATCAGTTCATAAGAACATGTAAATAAATATATCAAGACTTATTTTCTAAACTTCTTCTGCGACATGGATTTCAGTAGAATATTCCTATTCTATCACAACACTTTTTAAACAAGAAAGACATACATATACCATCTGAGCACGTGTACGGAGAAACGTGCAGTTTCCCACTGGTCAATCTACGTAGTAAAGCGCAACATGGTTCTTGTCCCAAAGTGTTTGACACATAACACCCAATAGCGATTTTAAACAGCCGACGACAATTTCTCATTCGCTGAAGTACTTGAGGAGTTAATAAAAACTTGACTTCAGAATTTTATACAGAATTTGAAGGCACTTTGCCCAATAGTATCCTTATATCACTTTCATGAGGTCATTTTGCAATACGTACAAGCTCACTGATAAGCTAGCACCGGGTTGATTTAGAAGAAAAACGTTATTCAGCCATAGTTTCGGCGCCTTCGCCTTCCTCAAAATCGAACTGATCCGAGTCGATGGTTCATAGCCGTTCCTTCTCGAAGTTGAATGTACTTTTTTATCGAAGCAACAACCGTACAATCGAAACGGATAAATTCGGCGCTGAAGAAAGCAAAGGTGCCGTGACGTCACCAAATAGAGATTTCTTCAACAATCGTGTGTTAGCTTATCAGTAAAAGAATACGTAATTATTAGTCATACCGAGGTTAAAGAGAAGTCGGTTGCTGTAGTTTCCCAACTTTAAACATTAGCAAAATTCTCATAAATTTGAAAAGAAGACGCCAAATTTTAACAATTCTCATGCAAGCATAGGAGCCAGAAAAACAAGAAGTAGACTGGAGAACATCACTGCACCCTGCCAGACGAAATAGTGCTTCTTCAATCACTTTTTACTTTGAAATACGAGCCTTCATGCTAAAAGTGAAAACGTACGTTCCCTGGGCTCGAGGAAGTCAGAGTTTCATTTCGGCAGAATAGTAGAAGCTGTATCTGCTGGTTTTGGTTCGATTGATAAAGTCCAATATGATAGATATTAAGAAACAGGACTGGGCAGGTCGTCACTGGATAAACCGGGTTTAACAAACACGCCCACGATACGCCCTGTGGACTGCTTCGCACTTTTAACTCAGAATACTAGTACCGTCTATACAAATACAGGATCAGAAAATTTGCACTAGGAGAAAGAAATGAGAGTGGATACCGTCTTGCAGGAGTCCTGTGAACCTGTGCACAGCACGTCTTTTCCATGGAAGTTCATTTTTCTTTTCAGAAGAAAATCTTCGTTGATCGTTAATCTAACGGTAAGACACATAGGAACTATATAGCCTTTCAAACAGAAGATGGTGTCTACTTGATATACCAGTATTCCCATGATTCTGTACTTGGTCCGATGATCGCTTTCTTCCAGCGAGGATTCCACTCACCCATAAGCTGGAAAAGAATCCACGTTATTGCCGAAGAAGGGAAATTCCAGTTGTATATGGCGAGAACATTCTGAACGAAATCCTGTCCAGCCATGACTCACAGGTTAAAGAAGACCGGACCGAAGACTACGAGCTCGTACTGCAACAAGCTTAACACGGCTAGTAATAAATACCGCTTTCAGAACAGCTATTCAGGAAGATTTATGTAGGCATGGGCAGAAGAAATTGTTAGAATCAGCACAAATGAGCAGAGACTGAGCTCAACGAAGCGGAAAAAGATGCGAATGCGTATAAATGGGACAAATGTCCAGTTTATGGAGAACTCATGCACAAAGGTGAGCAAATCGAATCGGATTACAAAGACCACCCACTACATGTACTTTGAGCTCTTAGTGAACACAGAGGAGAGATCAAAGAAAGAGAACAGCAAGGGTCACAACCCGCCTTCTCAAAGAAGCCTCCGACCAACTAATGGACTCAAAAGTCCATAGGCGAAAGAACTGCAGAGTGCTGGACTCCGCTTGGAACCAAACGTCCCCTGGGACGACGACTACCTACACGATGGAGAGATATGTTTGCAACCAAAGTTGGTCAGATGCGTTAGCAACTCCAGATGTTTGATGGTTTTTATTTCGATCGATGGAGTCGAATATGAGTCAATATGTGTTAGTTTAAAGCTGAAAACATGCATTTTTTGTAGCAAATGCAATGTACCTAATGCATGCAAGGCGATATGCGCTAACATTGATTGCATTGTGTAGAACTAGGACTTCTTTCTCCAATATTCAAGTCTCTAGGTTTTCATTCATAAAAACTGTAACGGATATAGCTCTCGGCGTTGACCAATCCTTGAGGGATGCGCCATGCATTCGACTTCATTAAGCACCGTTGGATGTGAATGGATGCATATCTGTCCCTTACAATGACTCGCGGTGAGCTGCCAATATATCGAGTCAGTGCTTCTCTTCTCACAAACAAGTTTGGTACGAATCTGCAGAGCTCGAAGGGATGGAGGGCTTCGTGAGGCTGGAGCGCAGGGACAGATCCCATGTGCACTGCAGGGCATCTCCGACCGCTGCGCTGCACGCGCCCACAGTATTCACTCATAGATGGTAATTTTCATGAACAATAAAATTGAACTTCACTCAAATAAGAAACCTGTGATCTATAACAAATAAACCGGGAAAGGATGTTGTATGAGGAAAGCGAAAAAGCGCTCATGGTAAAAGACAAACAGCCAGCATACCAAATGGAGGGAGAGATTTATGCGAACTTACATCTTCCTCAATGAAATACAACATGTTAAGTAGCTAAGTATGAAGAAAGGATAGCATGGGATAGCCATTTTCTAGGATTATGCACAAGACCCGCGAACCACAATATTTGCTTCAGAAAATGAAATTACACAACTGAAGATTGTTAAATAAGAAAGGAATTTGTCCATTCCAAATCGCTAGAACACATCTTCAACATAAATTTATCATTTACTACCTAGATTACATGGACGGACTTATCAAATCTAAATGGATTGAAGTGGAATGGATTGATGGATGGTAGTTCAACCTATTAATATTCAAACTCTTTTTTTTTACCAGGAATGACAGATAGAAGTGAGACATTGCAAACAAAAAAAGTGTTAGAAGTTCTTTATCCCTACACCATAAAGTGCTCTACAGGCTTAGTACCAATAACATCTAACCCAGAGTACACGAGCGACAATACTGGACAATATGGACCCGTTTTACCCTTCTACTTTTGTTTGCGGTTTTCGAATCAACATTGCCATTGCTTCTCCTCCGCCATTACAGATAGCGGCTATCCCCAACTCTCCAGGTAAGAGTGAATATGCGAGCGACAATACAATACGAAGTCCAGACATTCTAAAAAATGTAGTCATAAAATAAACCAGGAATGAATAGCAGAAAACTAACCCTAACGGATGACCAAGGGCTACGGCTCCTCCTTTCACATTCACAATTGCCGGATCAAGCTTGAGCTCTTCGATAAACGTTAGAACTGTGGCAGAGAATGCCTCATTTACCTCCCACAAGGCTATATCGGCAACGCTAAGATTTTCTTGCCTTAGAAGCTGTAAGAGAATTAGGAAAGTTACAGGCTTCGAAGAAGTGGATGAGTGTCGAAAAGGTCAAGACATACCTTTCTAGTTGCCCACACAGGAGCTATTGTAAAATCAATCGGTTCCCCACCATCTTCTGCAAAACTTACTAGTTCAGCGAGAGGAGTGACCCCTAAATGAGCGAAATAATATTTTCAGCAATTTAGAAATTTTCTATTTATTAAACTATTTCGGTGCAGACAATGTAATGGTACCTTTAGGGACTTGATCACCACGAACAACTACCGCCGCAGCGGCACCGTCATTAAGTGAGGAAGCGTTTGCGGCTGTGATGGTTCCTGAACCATCCTTCACAAACACAGCACTAAGAGTTGGAACCTAAAGTGTAAATTCTTCGGCTAAGTATTTTTCTACAATAAATTAGAGAACCTAATTTTAGAAATGGTGCACTCACTTTTGCTTCAACTAGTTTCTTGTATTCCTCGTCTTCTGAAACTAAAACTATTGCGCCTCTCTTCGTTCCCACCGTTACAGGAACAACTTCCTCAGCAAAAGCACCGTCCTAAAAGAACAGTTAAGATTGTTCAGGATAAATATAATACATTCAGAAAACAAGAGATTAAAACAAAATGTATTGAGACAGACGAGAAAAAACTGCTGGAAAAACTTAACATCCAGGCTGCAGCTGCCCGTTTGTAGCTCTGAATAGCGTATCCGTCTTGTGCTTCTCGACTAATTCCATAATCCTAGAGTCAATTGTTTCACATGTTTGAATAGTCGAAACGACGTGAAGCATAGATCACACATATTAAACTGCCTTGCTAATCTGCAAGCTTCAATGACAATATAAAGCATGAACTTAGCTTCTTAAAAAGCCCTATTAATACGATGCGTAAATAACAACCATACTGCAGTTGTCCTATGCTAATTAGAACACGCGCAAAACTTCAAAGTGCTAATAAGAGTAAGGGAACAATAAAAGGACAAAACATAAAGCTCTCGGTGTTGATCAATCCCTGAGGGATGCGTGCTGCTCTCGATTCCATTAAGCATCATTGCAGGTGGTTGAATGCATTAATAGCCTTCACAATGACTCGTTATGGCCAACTGATGTGTCGAATCAGTGTTGCTATCCTCCCAGACAAGCCTGGTACCAATTCATCGAACCCGGAGGGATGGAAGTCTCGGTGAGCCTCGAGCACGGGGATCGATCCCATGTATATTGCAGGTGCTTCAGAGCACTGCGCTACACGCGCCCATGGGAGCAATATTGTACAAAAATATCGAAGAAATATAAGTAATATCGGAAACTGACAAGTGCAATTTCACCAATGAATAAAAGTTTATCAGTAAAAATCCATTTCTTCACCTTCACAGACTTCTCCGCGCAAAGGCCCATATGAGATTTAAGCATTGCATCCTCCAAACCATCTCTTACCACACCATCCTTAATATAAGTGAAAATATTTGCAAAACAAAAAATAGGTTGTAAAGTACTAACAACAATGTTTGTTCCTCCGTAAGGAATTTCACCACGTGACAAATAGAAAGGAACCTGAATTTAGAAAATATATATTATACCATTTGCGAGAACACACCACATTGTATTTACAAACCTGGCTCATATTTTCGCATCCTGCGACTAACACTTTTTTACGATATCCACTTTTAATTGACAGAGCAGCAAAAGCTAACGCTTTCATAGACGAAGAGCATACCTTGTTGATTGTAACCGCTTGGGAGGATTTAGGAATCCCTAAACTTATTTCAAGAAATATAAGAGGATCAAAGAACTAAGAGATATGTCAAGAATTAGAGGACAACACCGATGGAAAGAGCAAGTTGTCGAGCAATATTCTGCCCACAGCTAGCAGTAAGCGCTGATCCAACTAACGTCTCCTCTATATCACTTGGTTCAATTCCTGAACAAATGAACAAATAGTTCATTCATGAGAAAAACACATATTATGTAAACAAAAAAAATGCCACTTGATTTGGCCCAACTACAAACCTGACCTAACCAGAGCACTTCGCGCTGCAACAGATGCCAGCTCAACAGCACTCATCGACGAAAACGAACCCCGAAATGAAGCTATGGGTGTTCGAGCTCCCGACAAAATTAAGACCTGTATAACGTGGCGTAAAGCTATAACTTTCTAAACACATTATAAATATATCGGATACCTCCCAGGGCGCGTGTGGCGCAGTGGTCGGAGGTGAACGACACACGCATGTAACCGATCCCCGCACCCCTGGCCCACCAAGCACTCCATCCCTCCGAGGTCGGCAAAGTGGTACCAGACTTGTCTGGAAGGGTAGCGCCACTGGCTCGATACATCGGCAGGTCACCGCAAGTCATTTCATAGGAAAGATATGCATTCAATCACCTCCAAGCGATGCTTAATGAAGTTGAATGCATGGAGCATTCCTTAGGGATTGACGCCGACAGTTTTATTCTTCATTTTATCGGATATCTCCCAACATTCCAAAAACTATTCAAGCGAAAACAGAACAAAACGGTAGAAAAGCCCTATGTGTGGTGTAGACGTGTAGTGTAGAGAACATTTATCAGAACACAATTAAATCGCTGAAGAAGCTAACTCCTTATTCTTTTCTGACTCATTTTGCGCCAATGTTTACCCTTCTTTATCTCTAAAAAGACGGAAAAAAAGATGGGCAACTTGATTTTGCCAAACACCTACCTATTGAGTAAAACTTTGTCCAAATCAAATAAACAATTTCGCGCTTGAAAATTAAACGCAGTCAATGAATTTATAAGCATAACTGAATAACAACGTGTTATGTTTCCCTTATTACTCTTCCAAAAAAAAATTGATGACTAAGTAGAAAACTGACCGAGTCGTTCGTCATTTGAACCTGGTCGGATCTACAAGTCAACTATGATGAACCTTGCTTTTGCTAAGAATTATATCTAAATTTTGGCGATATTATATTTGATAGTATACAAGAGAAGCTTTTGAAAAACCGAGACATCAATCATTCTTTATCAAGAAACAACAAGCGGATGGGTTTTGAATCACAGAAAAAGAAACACATGTAATGGTACATAAAACACAATGTGAAGTTGAAGTAAATGTTGGAAGAGAGTTTATGCTAGATGGGACAAAGTACAATAATACTAAGAAGACAGTAAGAACGATCAGCACCTCAGAGCTTTTCAATAATCATTCCACTAGCACCACCCCCTCCGTTGCATATAGCAGCACAACCCTTCTGCCCTGACTTCAAGGTGTGAACGAGATGGGTAATGAGACGAGCACCAGACATTCTAGACAGAAGAATATTTTCCATTTAAAAACGCAGTAAAAATCTGCAACACAACAATTCCAGTATTTCTTAATACAACCCATATCGCAAGAGCCATATATGACTCTTTTTTTCGGACTGTTTGTCTTGAGGTAGCTTTTCCCTGTACGTCTGCATTCAATTGATTACTTCATTAATGGAGACTTTAGAGCAAACTTCGAAGAAGGAAATTCCCACAATCCGTAAGTTAAAAAACCATAGAGGACGAATTTGCTCGATCCATGAAGAGATCGTTGTTCGTGAAGAGTGCTAGGATCTCACTGCTCTACACGTATAATTATGACTGATATAAAAAGGACACCGCGACATGCTAAATCATTGATAAAATCGGCACAGACGTAAATGTAGTGTAGGTGTATAGTTGGCACTATCAAAATTCTTGCTTCTAAAAATCTCCCAAAGAATGGATGAAAAAAGGATAAAGTTCTCAGCGTTGATGAATCGCTGAGGGATGCGACATGCATTCGACTTCATCAAGAACTGTTTGGAGGTGAGTGGACGCATATCTAGCCTTAACAATGACCCGCCATGGTCTACCGATGCATCGAGCAAGTGTTGCTATCCTTCCAGATAAGTCTGGTAAATATTACTTGGATACTTGGATGGCCCGTTTTCATTGGTTGTGCGGGCACCAGCATAATTCCCATTTTCTAGAAGTTTTGCTGGTCTAGTCATTGTGGTTCTCTGGAGTCGCGAGGTCAGCCAGGCCAAAGTCTGCTCCAGGTCGTCATCACTACAGGCAGTCGCCGCCGCTGTGGATTGGAGGCAGATTTGCTACCATGCGGCTGGTTTCATACCAGGGCTGTGGTGGATCCTGGTATTGGTTTACTCTTAGCTAGCCTTCTTCACTGAAACGCCGGACTACTTCTCATCTTGGGAGACCTTACTGAGTAGATGAATTCCCTCGCTGTGCATCGCAGCACGACACCCAGGAACACCTCCCAGCTACGATAATGCGGTAAATCGTTGCGAAGACTTATAAAAACACTGGCTTGAAATGAGTCGCGCCCATTGTAATATAGCTATCCTAACTGGGCTGCCAGAATTCGTCATCAGCCATTTCTGCTCATCTGCCTCTGCCTTACCACTTGCCTTTTTCTATACCTCACTTTTTCATCGCACTACTTCGTCAGTTTATTACTGGTTTCGTCATTGTGTTATTTGCTCTCTTAAAGGGGAACTGCTACTGACAAGTTGATAAGTGGACGGATATTCTAAAACCTGTAGCGACCACCATAAGTTGCATTACTTAAAAAATGGGAGACTAAAGTTTTTTAAAACCTCTCTTTTCTGGCACAGATTTGAGACTAACAGGACCTTCTCTATGGGTTGCAGTGAAAGTTCTATGAGCACTGAACCATGGTTATTTAAAGATCTTTGTCAAAGATGAGATTTTCCATATTTTCCACATCTGTTACTATGAATAAATGGTCTTTTCTTTCTTCGTAATCACTTCTTTCACAAGCATACCCCAAACATCAACCATAAACATCAACCAAAATAATCGCAAAAATGTATAGCCCTTGGGAATCCTAGTAAACGTACTGTCACTGAAGACCTAGTAGTAATATTGAATTACTTCAACATTCACTGCTGGCCTCATCATCCTATTAATAGGTTCAAACTTTTCGAGAAGCAAACACATTTCTTACTTTCCTGCAAAACACATTTCTTACTTTCCTCAGAATCTTCAGCTTCTTCTTGCTTCGATGAGCACCCAACCAAAAAAGTCCAATTTAGGCATGACTCTACATATATGATTTTAGCCTGTGAAATTCCACTTTCAACCAGTACTTGATTAAATTCTGAGCAGTAGTTCATTAATCTTTTTCATTTAGAAATAGCCACGACAATTAGATTTGGAGTATGACACACAAGAAATACTGAAAAAATACGAACCTCTTCAAAAATCGGCTACTGCTTAACCTCGGCATAAATAATCAGCACTTTGTTGTGCTGTTAAGCTTCACGTTGTACCCTACTTCACTGAATTCCGCTCGATACGATTATAAATGTGCACGTAGTAAGAATGTATAGCTGCTGACAGAGGAGTGGAATCGCTAGCCGCAGTAAAAGTTTTTGTAACAAACTCGTATAAGTTTAACAGTAGGAAAAGCAATCATTTTTTGTTCCACAGTCAACTAAAGACTGCCGACATCATGTCGTCAGATGATACACGAGTTTTTTCAGCATACGAGATATGGAATATTCTAGAAACAAACAACCAATACACAGAACGTAGACCATACGTAGAACACCAACGAAACAAAAACAAGGGACTCTACGAGTTATACATAATTCGTAGCACGCGAAAACAAAAACTGGGGATGGTCCCATGTGGCCATCACGGAAAGCTAGGTGTGCTCGCAAATGTATTAAAATGAAATTACTAGCTATAGTAACTCACCCGATAGGATGTCCGATGGACACGGCCCCTCCGTGAGGGTTAACTTTACTTGCATCACATCCAATTTGTTTGATAAAAGCTAGAGCAACGACAGAAAACGCCTCATTAACTTCCCAGTGATCAATGTCTGTCATCTTTAGTCCGGTGCTTTGCAGCATCTTAATGTACAAGAGTTTTAACTTTTTAATTCACCACTCCGAATACTATCAAATTCTTGTAATTAAAGTTGAAAGGGATGGCTTTGTCAGGAAACGGATGGTGTACTTGTTCTTCTCCCAGCGGAGACCAATTTTAAGAATTTTATAATTTTATGGACAACAAAAAATTCTTCACAAAACATGATGAAGACAGCAATCATACCTTTGGTATAACAAGAACAGGTGCAAGGGAAAAATCAAGAGGTTTAGTAGCGGCATCTGCAAACGTGAGGATTTTAGCTTGTGGCTTGCAACCATACTGCTTACAGGCATCAGCACTTGCTAAGAGCACCGCCGAAGCTCCATCGTTCAACGTCGATGCATTACCAGCGGTTACAGTCCCATCTACAAAAAATCTCAATTAGGGATTTGTGGTATTAATGCAAATGTCAATGTCAGAGGCGGAGAGCACAGTGTTAGCGGTGTCGATCAACATAACTACAGTGCCAGTTCGATGCCATGCAAGGCTCACCAAGCCTCTCACCCTTCGTGGTCGGGAAATTAGTAGCAAACTTGTTTGGGAAAAGTCCACTCTCTGTAATCCAAGTGGGAACGTTCTAGCCGAACTATCCTAGAACTCGAGGGAGAATGAACTCGACCAGTATTCTACGATATTCAAAATGAAATAAAAATCCTCTAGTGGCAGTCGAACCAACACGAAAAGTTGGAAGACCTTTATTGGTAACGGATGCTAGCAAACGAATCGAATGTGAGAAGTGCTGGGATCCGCACGATAGATATGAAAGACGGGTCGTATAAAATAAAATTTAAAAAATTAGTATAAACGCCACATTAAGTCCTAAATTTCGACAAGTAAACCAAAAACTCCATGAATCACAGCGTCGCAAAACTTACCTTTTTGGAAAACAGCTTTCAATTTCTTCAATTTTTCTGGATCAAAATTTTTGAACTCCTCATCTGTATCAACAACCGTTGTACCTTTCCGAGTTTTTACGGTAACGGGTACAATCTCAGATGTCATTATTCCGGTCTATAAAATGATAATTTCAAATGTCCTGCGAAAGTCAAATGCTACTGAACAAAGTGAATAAAGATCGATAGCTAAGATAAATAAACTGAACTGACGTTCCACGCAGAAGCGGATTTAGTATAACTTCCAATAGCGTACTCATCTTGTTCTTCTCTTGAAATTGCCAAATCCTTTGCTGTTTTCTCTCCACAATTACCCATATGACAATGATCATAAGCGTCTGTTAGCCCGTCCTTCACTATTCCATCCTAAACAACACTAGGAAAATTCGTACTGTTGAAATTTTCTGAGGAAAAGAGAAACAATACTTACAAAAAGCTGCAAACCACCGTATGTGGTATCACCTCGATTCATGTAGAAAGGAACCTGAGACATGCTCTCCATGCCACCGCCAATGACGACCTGCAAATAAATACTACCTTATTAAGACGAAGCACGAACGAGATTAGTAAAACCAAGCGTAATTTACAAATTACTGAGAATAGCCAAGACCGTGAGAATAACCAAGACCGTTTTAGAATTGCTAAAGGCAAAAATATGTGAATCCTCACAATGATTTACTGCCTCATCGTAGTGGGGAAAAGTTCCTGGGTATCGGGCTGCGGTGTACAGCGAAGGCATTCATCCTCCCAACAAGATCTCCCAAACGGAGAAGGAGTCTGGCGTTTCCATCAGGGAGTCCACTAAGACTAAACCTATACCAGGATCCGCCACCGTCCTGGTTTCAAACTAAATGCATGGTAGCAAATTTCCCTCAAATCCACAAAGAGCGGCGACGGCCTGGTGTAGACGACCTGGAGTAGACTTTGGCTAGGCTGACCTCAAGACTACAGGGAACCACAATAGCTGAACCAGAAAAACCCAGAAAAAATGGAAATTATGCAAAGGCCGCATGACCAGTGAAGACGGGTCATTCAAACAACAAGTATCGAATAAATATGCGAATCAGAAAGGCAATTACAATACTTGTAACCTTATTTTAAAATATACTCACGTTTTGATGGCCAGTCTGGACCTGTTGTGCAGCAAGCATTATTGCTTTTAAGCCTGACGCACAAACTTTATTTACGGTAGTAACAATCGTAGAAACATTTAGACCTTAAAGTACATATATTAGCCAATATCTATTGCAGATATATTGTAGATAAAAGCGAATAATTAGAAGACCTGCACCAAGCGCTGCTTGCCTTGCGGGAGCTTGTCCAACATTCGCTTGACATACATGGCCCATAAACACCTACAAAAGATCTTCTAGAAGCTGAGTAGCATTACGAGCAAATAGTCCGGTACCTCTCCGACGTTATCTGGCTTTAGGCCACTTCTCTCCAGGGCAGCTTTTATAGCCACACTTCCTAACTGAGGAGCAGATACAGACGCTAGCTGAGATCGGAATGATCCAATAGGTGTACGTGCTGACCCAACAATGAAAACTTCCTGGAGCGCTGTGAATAATATTTAAGTACAAGAGCGAAGTTTCCTGAGCAAGATTCAATTTTGTAAAGTACTGCATAGTGGAGAACTGCGGATAAAAAAATTATGTGCATGCTGAGATAAAGCAAAAAGCTCTCGACGTTGATCAATCCCTGAGGGATACGTCATGCATTGGACTTCATTACGCATTGTTGGAGGTGATTGAACGCATATCTGGCCTTTACAATGACTCGCGGTGGCCTACTGATATATCGAGCCAGTGCTGCAGTCCTCCCAGACAAGTCTGGTACCAATTTGCCGATCACGGAGGGATGGAGGGCTTGGTGAGCATGGGACGCAGGAATCGATCCCATATGTATTGCACAGCGCCTCCGACCAGTGTGCTGCACGCACTCCGCTACTGGGATAGAAAACAAATATAAACTTATACACACACCTTGTTACATAGTGAAGAAGAAAGGCACAGTGTTCGGTAACCGACTAGCTTAGTATTAGCAAGCATTGCTGAAAAAAAAAATGGAACCCGACGTTCCGGGCAATCAAACACTTTTTCCTAAACCAAATAAATATTCTGACAAATCAGGTAATATAAAGAGTTATAAAAAAAAACATCAAACGACAGACAGAACGACTCTGCATAACGGGGCGATAAGGAGAATCAGAGCACTACTCGTGATAACGGAAATGACGCAAGTTCAGTCACGTGTCCTAACGAACTTGTAATTCTTCCCGCGGCCTTACCTAGACAACCATCCCAACCGTCTCAAGTGTGGACAAGGGACATTATAAGTTCTTTTTCTCTTCAAGCAAAGGTCTTCATGGTGTTATGAAGGAAATGTTCCGGATAAGACAGTGTCTTTCTCGGTACGATTCTTTCAACCGTTGTTATTTATCAAGTTATTATCGCCAGTGATTTTGCCGTAACCTTGATTTACTCAGAAAGGAGTCTACAGTAAAAATAAACAGTGAAAATGCTGACAAGTGTAGGAAACAGAGCATGTGTATCATATTTTCGAAAGAAAGATAAAGTTAACTACGCTTAAGACGGTATGAATGACTTCTAACCTAACAAAACTGTATTGTCACAACCAACATATACATTGTCGGCTTCACCTTTCCAACCTCTGAGGAAAGCGAAATCCACCGAAACGTAAGTTTGCTTGCAAATGAAGGAATGGAATAAAACTTCGTGTTTGCTCAACAAGAACATAAAGAACTCCATTGTCACAGTGATCGAAGGAGAGTTTTATTTGATATGTTAACATTACCCTCTAAATCTCTCATAGACATTTACTCGAGCTGGAATAAGTACGAAGTACCCTGCATAACTACGTAAAGAGAAGCTGCAATGGATCCTGTAAAACGACAAAAAAAGTCTCTGGTGTGGTTCGGCAACGGTTTCATGTCACAAGTACAGCTGGAGGGCTCAAACGGATCCTTTGCGGAATGCCGATTTCGAGCGCTAGACAGAATAAAAATTGTCTAATGTATCGTCTCCCACGAAGTACCAGATGTCTAGACTGTGGTTATACACAAAATTTATGGACTATATGGGTAATACAATTAGAGAGACCAGTTCGTGGTGCTTATAGATGAACAAAGGTATAATACACGCCCAAAGGCACTATAGGCTTACAGCAGGTTATCATAGGATACGCAACACATCATCTTGAAACAACACGAACGAAAAGATCCCCAAACCTACTCGATTCATAGAGGACCACCACATCGTGTGATGACTACCTGAGAGTTGCCTAACACGGCTATCTCGTATCTACAAAGAAAATTACGATTGATTTGTATTCAAGATATTAATGAGGGTTAGAGTACACAGGTCGCAGTTACATTTCAATCCACATCTAAACCCGATCACCACTACAGATGACGATTTGAAGATGAAGAAACGAATGAAAGAGGTGCTGGGATCTGCACAGGTGAAGGCTATATAACTCGTTCAGTAGGTAAGTATATCGATGAAACTTATGATTCTAACGAACCGACTTTCGAAAACGGAAGAAAAGCTCAGTAATGACGAAGTGGAACAGAACGAGCATTGTTAAATAGTATATAGAACATAATTGTGAGAAACAAACTCCTTTATGATGACTATTATCTTAAGGGAAAAAGATGAACTCCGAATTCACACAGCGGACTTACCACAAATAGATTCTGTCATATCCAATTGGAGATTTCCACAAAGAATGTTGATAAGCACTACTTATTCTACGCATTAACTTCTATCATCAATAGAAGTAAAAACCAAAAAATGCAAATATACGAAGCCCAGGTCCATTATTTCGGAATATTTTATATCTTGAGCATACTTACTATTTGATAACTCATAGCCCCGTCAGTACTACCAGAAACATAACTCTGAAGCTCATTTCTCCGAACATACTATCTCTGGCACATCAGTGAAGAGCAAGTGTTGGAAACAGACTTCAAAGACGGTGTGAATCCCTTTACATTCACAAATACATCTATTAGGCACGATGGAGATAATGCTCTTTCCGGCCCTTTCCTCCTTCAGATACCCTACATTACCGAAAAGGATTCTTCGGAAGTTCACCCTTCGTGGATAAGAGGAATCAAGGATATCGCGCCGAACTAACACTCACTGAAACAGAAATTTTATAGTTTGAGGTAGCAACGGATGCCAAATTCCAATATATATACAAACATATACATATGCACGTTTATATGTATATATATATATATATATACATGTACATGTACGCATATGTGCACATACATGCACATATATATGTGTATACATATGTATATATGTATATATATATATATATACGTAAGGATATTGGAATGCACCTATGCACTCTAATAAAAAGGATAAAGCCTTCCGTGTTGATTACTCCGTGGGCTCTGAATCGAACCAGTGACCACCTGTGTATTACATGGCACCTCTAACCACTGCGCAACATGCGCCCCATAATTTGTCACCACACATAAATACTCTGTCGAAAGAGACCCGATCGACAGAACCACACACTTTTGCCAAAAACGTCCAACCGCCAAACTATTACATAGAACTGGAAAATCATGTCAGACCGAACGTTAACGTCTGTCGCGTCCGTCCTTTGGTTCAAAATTTGGTTATAAATATGAGCGGCTTACATAGCAACGCGGTGCAATGTGTTCTTGGCTCTCCAGAAAGCCAAAAAAATTGTGGATGCTCTTTCATACAGCTAGAAACATGCAGTGTACGATCACACAACATGCTTCCTTTTTCTTTTAACAGGCGAGTTTGAATAATGTTTCGAACAAGCAATAGCTCTACTCATAGCCGTTCCTATCTCTTTCCGATCTCACTCATATCCCTCTCCTGCTCCACTAGCTGCGCTTTCGTCGATATTCTGGTAGGCTGCACCTTCGCATGATTGCTTAAACATGGTGAAGCTTATATAACCTTTCTGCTTCATGGCATTCGCACCACCTACTTAAGTATTCATGTAAGCATTAGTGGACGATTTGGATTGCTCACGCTAGTACCCATTTTGTGCTGATGGTAAAATGGCGTTACCACATGAAAAGATAAAGGATAAAGCTCTGGCGTTGATCAATCCCTGAGGGATGCGTCATGCATTAGACTTCATTGAGCATCGTTTGGAGGTGATTGGATGCATATTTGGCCTTTACAATGACTCGCAGTGGCACACCGATATAATACTTCTATCCTCGCAGAGAGGTCTGGTACCAATTTTCAGGCCCTCGAGGGATGGAAAGCTTGGTAACCCTGGGGCGCCGAGATCGATCATACATGTATTGCAGGGTGCGCCAAACCATGCGGAAGCGAAGGTTTTTTTGCGGTGAGCAGAAGTTGTATTCTATGTGTAAGAGATTGTTATACCACAGAAACTGGAGCGGAAATGTCTCACTTAACTCTTCTGCAGTCATTGAAGTAGGTAGCGCACAACTGCATAACTTAGAAATATTCAGTTAACTACGATTCCAAATAAGCCAATAATAATGAGTGTTATTTGTGTGTTGCCTATTTCAGCAAAAAAGGCGTGTGGTGCAGTGGTGGGAAGCTCCCTGCAATACGTATGGGATCAATCCACGCGCCCAAGGCTTACCAAGCCCTGCATCTCTTCGGGGTCGGCAAATTGGTATCAAACTTGTTTGGGAGGATAACAGCACTGATCCGATACATCGGCAGACCTCCACGAGTCATTTTAAAGGCTAGAAATGCATTCAGTCACCTCCAACGATAGTTAATTAAGTCGAATGCATGGCACATCCCTCAGAGAATGATTAACGCCGAGAGCTTCATCCTTTTATCTTTTTCAGCAATGACTAAAAATTTTGGGACATTCTTAACAACAAGAGACAAATAGAAACGAAATCGTATATTTCTATTGAAACTTCATGAATCAGACTTTATAACAACCAATATCTTTTTCAGACTGCAATGATAGAGCTTTCTACATGTCTTTCTATTGATACTCATCAAAATGTTCCCAACATTTTCAACTCCTACACCCTCTTCATTTCTATAACTTTTACATAACCCTTACACTAACCTTATGTTAACTTCATGATTTAAGAAGATATCAATAAAATTATGTTCCTATAACAGAGTAAGCAAAGACGTTGGCTCAGTCCACATTTGCCTTGTTTCGGTTGCTTTGGCTTAAGAAGCATAGCGTTCCATCCATAGCAATGTAGTACTTCAACTTGGTATGAATCAATAAGTCGATCGATACATAGAACTAGCAATATACTGCTCATCGTTGTATTAACAACAGAATTTACAAAGAACAAAGAAAAGACGGGAATACGAGGAGTCGACAGCTGTTAAGTTCGTTGTATGATGCTATTTATATAATTACTGATAGGTGTAGAGAAAAAAGAACTAACTAACTAATTTTTATTCACAAATTATTATATAACTAGGTAGAAATCAATTAACCCAGAGAGGAAACTGGTTCAGTAAAACAAATCGCCAGGATCACAGTGGAGATTCGGACGTTGTCGAGTGAATTCTGCCTTTA